GGGGGGGGGGCCGCGCTGGCACCAGTTCGGACCAGTACGGGCACCGGGCTGAGCGCACATGGCCCAGTTCGGCCCCGTACGGACACGGGGCCCGGGCTGCGCTGCCCAGTTCGGCCCAGTGCGAACACTGGTCCGGGGGTCACACGGCCCAGTTCATCAGCCCAGTGTGGACACTGGTCGGGGGCTGCACTGCCCAGTTCAGCCCAGCATAGACACCGGACTGGCACCGGCACCGCTGCCCCAGTTCAGCCCAGTATGGGTGGGACACACCTGGGACCCTGCACCCCAGGACAGGCCCTGCCACCCTCCCACCAGCCTGGGGGGCACCCGAGGGTCCCCACTGTCCCCGGGGGTCCCCGAGGGTCCCCACTGTCCCCGGGGGTCCCAGGACATGGTGGCTCCAGGACCCCTTTGTGTGCAGAGAGGGACAAAGGGGCCGATGGTGTCACCACGGAGGGGCCACTGCCTTGCCCAGGGACCCTGAGGGACCCCAAGCACGGCTGCACCCCAATGCCACCCCTGGGTGTCTCCCGGGGGACAGTGGGGGGACAGGGCTGACCCTGTGACCCCCCCCAGGTGACAGCAGAGACACCCCATTAACGTCCAGCCCCCCTCGGCCGTGCCAGAGCAGCAAAAGCAAAAGCAAAAGCAAAAGCAAAAGCTTTGGGGACCTGGGATGTTTGGGGACAGGAGTGTCCCTGGGCCAGAGGACACGAGGTGAGTGACACCTGCAGTGCCCCAGGGCAGGGTCCCAGCAGGACTGTGCTAGTGCTGGTCCCAGTGGTGTCCCCGGTGAGGGGAGACAGGAAATGCCCCATTGCCGGTCGTTAAGGGACATCGGCTGGATGCCACCATTGGACGACTCTCTAATCCCTGTAATCCCTGCCCTGGGGTCACCGGCAGCTCTGCCTGCCCTGTCCTCATTCCAAACCCCCATCCTCATCTCCATATCCATCCCCATCCTCATCTCCATCTTCATTCCATCCTGATCCCCATCCTCATCCTCATCTCCATCTTCATTCCATCCTGATTCCCACCCCCATCCCCATCCCCTGTCCTTGCCTCATCCCCGTCCCATTCCCACCTCCATCCTTTGCCCCATCCCCATCTCTGTTCCCATCCTCACCTTCATCCCATCCCCATATCCTCCATCTTCATCCCAACACCGGGCCACCAAAAACCCAGCCCAAAGGTGACCAGCGACAGGTTTGGGATCCCCCACGTTTTGGGGAGCCCTACAGCTCAGGGACCTTCACCCAGAAGAATCTGCCAGTGCCCAAGGGCTCCAGCGTGGCGAGATGAGGCAGGGCTGGCACCAGGCATTGGGGGGCTGTTCCTGGGGACCCGTCCCAGGAAGAGGGAAGAGGTCATGCCCTGTGCCCTTGTGGGCACAGCTGTCCCTTGTGCCCCACGGGGACGTTGTGGCTGTGTCAGCCATTCCCCGTGTCCCTTGGGAGCATCGTGGCCATATCAGCTGCACCCCATGTCCCATGGGGACACTGTGGCTGTGTCAGCCATTCCCCGTGTCCCTTGGGAACACTGTGGCTGTGTCAGCCATTCCCTGTGTCCCTTGGGATCATCGTGGCCATATCAGCTGTACCCTGTGTCCCGTGGGGACATCGTGGCTGTGCCAGCTGTGCCCTGTGCCCCACAGGATGGCCTGGCCACAACAGCCACGTCCAGTGGGACGCCCTGGCTGTGCCAGTCTCTCCTGTCCCTGTGTGGTGCCGGGGGAGCCCTGGAGCCCTGCGGCCACCCCGGGGTTGGGGTGCTGGGACCACCCACCCGGTGCCCACCCAGACCAGACCAGGCTGTGCCCACCCCACGCTGGCACCGGCCCTCACCTCCCGCTTCCAGCGCGCCAGCCACTCGTCCCGCTTCCTCTTGCTGATGTAGTAGGGGTCCCCGGCCTGGAAGGTGTGTCGCTGCATCGGCCGCTGCCGCAGGCTCGACTCCCAGCCCAGGCCCCCCCGGAGCCGCCCACGAGAGCCCTGGGCCAGAGAGAGCAGGGTCAGGGCACCGGGGTGGGCAGCGGGGTGGGGACAGTGTGGGGGACAGAGCGGGGCTGCATGGGGGGGGCTGGAGGGGGGCACCCACTGCTGCAGGAGGGAGATGGGCAGGAGGGGCACCCACGTGCACATGGACACAGGCTCTGGGCCATGTGTGCACCAGCACCTGGATGCCCAGAGGTTGGATACTGGGGGGAGATTCTTCCCTGTGAGGGTGGTGAGGCCCTGGCACAGGTTGCCCAGAGAAGCTGTGGCTGCCCCTGGATCCCTGGAAGTGTCCAAGGCCAGGCTGGACGGGGCTTGGAGCAACCTGGGCTGGTGGGAGGTGTCCCTGCCCATGGCAGGAGGTGGAATGGGATGGGATGGGATTTAAGGTCCCTTCCAGCCCAAACCAGTCTGGGATTCAATGCCCTGGATGGCACAGCACCGGACACCCTGCCATGGCCAGCTGCACCTTGGTGGGCACTGTCGACACTGTCCAGGCATGGATCCACCCCAGAGCAGATCCAACACACTGTGTGGGCACCTGGGGGAGGACAGGGGTCAGCCTGGGCAGGCACCACCCCACATGGGGCCGGGTGGAGGGGCATCACTGGCCTGGCACATCCCGGTGCCACCTGGTCCCCAGCACAGCAGCAGGCGCTGCCCAGTGCCCAACTGTGCTGGGGCACAGGAACCTGAGACCCCCGTCCCGTGGGGACCCTGTCCCTGATGCCCCCAGTGCCGAGGGAGTGAGGAGAGACGGTGCCCACGAGCACAGGGAGCACTGTGCTGGCCAGTGGGCTGTGGGGCCGTGCCCCTCTCCTGGGGTGGGCTGTGGGGCCGTGCCCCTCTCCGGGGCCGGGCCGTGGGGCTGGGCCCCTCTCCTGGGGTGGGCTGTGGGGCCGTGCCCCTTTCCTGGGGTGGGCTGTGGGGCCGTGGCCCTCTCCTGGGTGCAGCCCCGTGGGGTCCAGCCCCAGGCCATACTTGCCTCCATTTTCAGGGTGTCGAAGTTGTTCTCCTCCTTCTCGTCCTTGCCTGCACACAGAACAGAGAGCGGCCGTGAGCGGGGGCCGGGGTGGGGGGGCCGTGGGGCTGGGACCCCGCAGGGAGATGGGCCCACCTGGGACCCCCCCAGCCCATCCAGGGCACCCCCAGGTGCCAGGGACAGGCACCCCTGGCTGGCACACGAGGCCTGGGCTGTGCTCCCGGGCGGATCTGTGCCAGCACAGAGCCGCTGGTCCTGTCCCCGGCCGGGGGTTTGGGGGTCCGGGGCAGTGACCCCCCCCCCGGGCGGGCAGGGGAAGCGGCCCCGCTGCTGCTTCCTGTGCTCTCGGCGCGGATGTGCCGCAGGTTCTGCCGCGGCGCTGCCAGGAAAGCGGCTAAAAATAACCCCGGGCGTTCTTCGGGGGTGTGAACCGCCCGCACCCCCGGGGCTCTGGGGGCTCTGGGGGGTCTGGGGGCGGCGGGGGGAGCACGAGGGGTGCAGGGGGGCCTCCCACCCCCTCCCAGCGCCCCTTCCTCGGTGCTTCATCCTTGGCTGCCGGGCACCCACCGCCCCGGCACAGACCCCCCCGGGTGTCCCCCAGCCCTACGGGACACCGGGACAGTCCCCCACAGCCGGCACAGGGGGAGGCAGCAGGACACTGGGGGACAGTGAGGGACAGCAAAGGACACTGCGGGACGCTGCGGGATGCTGGGGGACGCTGCAGGACACTGAGGGACAGTAAGGGACACTGCGGGACCTTGGGGGACACTGTGGGATACTGAGGGACAGTAAGGGACACTGCGGGACACTGGGAGACACTGAGGGACACTGGGGGACTGTGGGGGACACTGTGGGACACTGTGGGACACTGGGGGACAGTAAGGGACACTGCGGGACCTTGGGGGACACTGTGGGACCTTGGGGGACACTGGGGGACACTGAGGGACAGTAAGGGACACTGTGAGACCTTGGGGGACACTGGGGGACACTGGGGGACTGTGGGGGACACTGCGGGACCTTGGGGGACACTGCGGGACACTGTGGGATGCTGGAGGACACTACAGGACACTGAGGGACAGTAAGGGACAGTAAGGGACACTGTGGGACACTGGGGGACTGTGGGGGACACTTTGGGACCTTGGGGGACACTGCAGGACACTTTGGGACCTTGGGGGACACTTTGGGACCTTGGGGGACACTGCAGGACCCTGAGAGACTGTGGGGGACACTGCAGGACCTTGGGGGACACTGCAGGACACGGGGGGACTGTGGGGGACACTGCGGGACATTGCAGGATACTGGGGGATGGCAGAGGACACTGCAGGATACTGCAGGACAATCAGGAACACTGCAGGGTGCTGAGGGGCAGTAGGGGACACTGGAGAACACTGGGGCCACTGGAGAACACTGAGGGACACTGGGGGACACTGGGGGACAGGAGGAGACACTGGAGAACAGGAGCCTTCCCATCTCCACACTGGGGGCTGGACCGTGTGTGTGCCCCAGGGCTGCCTGGGCATCCCGTGCTTCCACGGGGATCTCAGGCAGGGAAACTGAGGCACAGGACAGGGGACGTGGCCTGTTCCAAGGCGCTGGTCCCCTCCATCACCGGGACTGGTCAAACTGGGGGCACCGACCAGGGCGGGCACTGCCCGTGGCTGCGGCTCGTGCCGAGCACAGGATGCTCGGGGAGCCCTGTCTGGCCGGGGGGAGCAGGGCAGGGGCCGGCAGGGGCCGAGCCCGGCGCTGTGACCTCGGCACAGGCACGGACGGAGCGCTGGGAACGGCTCCTGGGGGAGGGAGCGAGATCCGGGCGGCGTCACGGCCCCCCCGGGCCCTCCTGGCGACCACCGGGAACCGCTTGGACACCACCCCCGGCCCCCGCACCGGGGTGCGGCTCCCCCCGGCACCGGGATGGCCCCACGGCCACGGCCCACCCTGCTCCCCCCGATCCCGGCTCCGGCTGCGGCGCTCCCGCGGCTGCGCCTCGTGACTGCGGCAGCATCTGCAGCGCAGCTCATCCATCCCTGCCTGCCTCAGCTCCATCCCTGCCTGCCTCAGCTCCATCCCTGCCTGCCTCAGCTCCATCCCTGCCTCTCCCAGCTCCATCCCTGCCTTCCTCAGCCATCCCTGCCTGCCTCAGCCATCCCAGCCTCTCCCAGCTCCATCCCTGCCTCTCCCAGCTCCATCCCTGCCTCCCTTATCCATCCCAGCTTGCCTCATCCCTCCCAGCCTCTCCCCTGTCCATCTCAGCCTCTCCCAGCTCCATCCCAGCTGTTCCTTGCCCCCATCCCTGGCTCAGCCAGGTCGGTCTCTGCTGATCCTGCTTGTGAAGCCCCCAAGCACCAGAGCTGGGAACCCCGAGCAAAGTGTCCCGGGGTCAGAAGGACCCTCCGGGCTCCAGCCCGTGCCATGGCCTCTGGTCCCGTCCCTGGGCACCCCTGGGAGCGCCTGGCTCCCCTCCGGGCACCTCCCTGCAGGTGCCACAGCCCCGGATGCCCCGAGCCCGCTCTGCTCCCGGCCGAGCAGCCCCGGGACAGGGAATGTGCCCCCTGTGCCCCCGGCACGTGCAGGGCTGCCATGCAGGGTGGGCACACACACACCAGGGTGGTCTCACATGCGGGCAGGGACCCACGGGCACCACGCCAGGGTGGTTCCACACGTGGGCAGGGCACGAGGACCAACATCCCCATTCCTGCCGTCGGAAAGGGCGACGGGATGAACGTGAGGGTGCAGCCCCAGCTCAGACCTGCCATCCCCACCCCAAATCCCCACGTGGCACCGGGGGCTCAGCCCTCGCTCCTCCTTCCTGTGGCCGTGCCCCCCCAGCCCGGAGCCCCCGCGGGGCAGGGCAGGACCGGGGGGGAGCTCCCCCAACGCCGAGCTCTTACTTTTCTCTGTGGCCTCCAGGAGTTTCCTCCTCCCGCGTTTCTTCTGGGGGTCGGAAGGGGCCAGCTCACCCTCATCGGCCGGGGCGTCCAGGCCCTCCTTGGGGGTGCAGCGGCCGTTCTCCAGCGCCCGGCCGGTCTCTCCGTCGGGAATGCTCTCGGCGTCGTCCTCCTCGGGCCGGCCGCCCTTGGGGCTCGCGCCGCCCTCCTCCGCGTCCCCCTCCACGTCCCCGTTGGGCAGCGGCTCGGCGGGACTGGCCTCCGGGCAGGCCGGGGGGCACTTGGGGACGGCCGCCGTGTCTTTGGGGGTGTCACTGCTTTCCACCTGCCGGGAGGGAGGGAGGGGAAAAGGGACTCCGGTGGGTGCTGGCCCCGGTCACGTCCCACCTGTGCCCCAAGAGCCACCACCAGACCTCACAGCAGGAGCTCCTGCATCACCTTGGTATGATCAGCCCCGTCCCTGTTCCCCTGGCCTGACTCCACTTTCACACCACGGATGTCACACAGCACGAAGGCAAATCTCTGGGACCAGAGCCCACAGACCCCCCAGACGTGGCTCCATAATGCGGCGACGACCTGGGGACATCACGCCAAAAAGTCCAAGTCCCACCTCCTGCATCCCAGAAGTGAGAGCTGCCACTGCCTGCTGAGGGACTGGGGCTGCCATGGCACCCTCGGGGCCAGGACACAGTGTCACAGCACCCTCGGGGCCAGGACACATGGCCAAGGAGCCCTCAGGACCAGGACACATGGCCAAGGAGCCCTCAGGACCAGGACATGTTGCTTTCCAAGGAGCAGCGACCACTGATGTGGCACCCTCAGGAGAAGGAGAGATGTTGGGACAATTCTGTGGCTGGGACACGTGGCCATGAAACCATCGGCGCCAGGACACAGGGGTGTGACGTGCTGAGAATCAGAGACATTGCCACGGCACCTTTGGAACCGGCCATGACATCCTCAGGACCAGGACACGCTGCTGTGTCATCCTGGGGACCAGGACACACCATCGTGGCACCCTCAGGACCAGGGCAAAATGCCACGGCAGTGACAGGACCAGGACACTCCACCATGGCACTCTGAGGATCAGGACACACGGACATGACACCCTCATGGACCAGGACACACTTCCATGGCCTGCTCAGGACCAGGACATGTTACAGCAATACCCTCAGAGCAGGACACAACGACGTGGCATCCTCAGGACAGAGGATGGACAGAGGGACAAGACAGCCACAGCACCAGGATGGAAGCAGGTGACACCAGGAGGACCTGGATACACCATCATGGCAACTTCAGGACGAGGACACACCGTCACGACACCCCAAGGACCGGGACACGCTGCCACAACATCCTCAGGAAACAGCAGACACAGGACCAAGAGACAAGGATGTGACACCAGGGGGACCTGGAGGCACTGCCGGGACACTTTGTGACCAGAATATAACACCCTGACACCCTCAGGACCAGGCCAGAAAGCTGCCTGTGTGTGACAGCGGGGTATGCCATGGGCAGTGCCAACACCACAGGACAGTGCAGCTGGCATGGCACAGAACAGCACAGCATGGCACAGCTCAGCACAGCATGGCACAGAACAGCACAGCATGGCACAGAACAGCTCAGCACAGCTCGGCTCAGCACGGCACAGCTCGGCCCGGCAGCGGGAGCAGCAGTCAGAGCGAGAGGCACAGCCCAGCTCGGCGGTTTCCGTGGCCAAGGAGAGTGAAAGTGCTGCCGTGGCTCTGCAGAGCTGCCACCGGCACAGCCCTGGCAAGGGTGGGCACGGCCAGCGCCACCCGCCAGCCCCTCCAGCCCCGCTGCCACCCCGCTCGGTGCCCTCACAGGGGGTGCCAGGACACCCTCCGTGCCAGGACACCCCATCCCTGGGCCCTGGCTCTGGCCAGCCCGGCACCATGGGGCTGCTCAGGCACTGTCCACCCTGGAGACCCCACACACTGTCACGGGCACGGGGTGCCCACCCCGGTGTCACCCCCAACACCAGCGCTGAGCACCCCACGCACAGACACTCACGGGCACCGCTGCTCCCTCCCGGTGCCACCGGCGTGGTCCCACGGCACAGGAGGGTGCCAGGGTGGCACAGGAAGGTGCCAGGATGGCACAGGTGGTTCCGGGGTGGCACAGGTGGTGCCGGGGTGGCACAGCGGTGGGCTGGCCACAGGGACCCTCCTGCTTGTGCCCAGCCAACTTCGGGTTCCAGGATGCCCCATTTGGTGGCCGGGTGCCAGGGAGGGAACGCTGTGCTGTCGGGGGGTTCCCCAGGTTTGTCCCACGGGGCACACAAGGACCCCCCTCCCCGCGTGCCCGAGGGCCTCGTGCCGCTTACCATGGCGCGTCCCCCCCGGGTGCCAAGGGACCCCCCGGCCCCGCCGCCCGCGCAGGCGCCTCCGCCGCGGCCGCTTCCTGCTCGCCCCGGCCCCGCTGGCACTGTCACTTCCTCCCCAGCCGGCAGGGAGGGGACCAGGAGGGGCTGGCCAGGGGGTGCTGGGGGACAGGGGGGACCCTCGCAGAAGCGCCGGCGGTGGTCTCTCTCCCCGTCCTGGCTGCGTCAGGCCCGGTCCCCAGGGAGGGCACGGTCCCCACAGGCAGATACTGGTGCCGTTGGGAAGGTGGAGGTGTCATGCCGTGCCACGGTGTGGGCACGCCTGGGCATGAGCGAGGGCACATATGGGGTTACAGAGACATTGGTGTGCCCGGCCCGGGGATGCTGAGGCTCTATGAGGGCCGGACACCACCAGGGTGAGGGCTGGACACCACCAGGGTGAGGGCACACTGAGGCTCTGTGATGACTGGACACCACCATGGACACCACCACGGTGAGGGCATGGCTGCCGGGACACCGTGGGCAGGCCTGGGAGCAGCGCAGGGAGCTGGAACCAGGGACAAGATGGATGCCAGGGAGCAAAGTCCCCGCTGGCCCCACGGCGAGCGGGAGGGGACCTGCCTCCCACTGCGTCCCCCAGCCCGGCGCTGCAGCACAGCCAGCTCGCCCTCGGGGGTCTCTTGCTGCCCTTGGGGGTCCCTGGCTGCCGTCTCTCCCCAGGGCAGCTTGTGGGGGGTCCCGGCCACCCCCCTGGCCCCACTCCCACCCTCCGCCCGGGGCTGTATCCTGGACACCTCCCCGAGAACAATCGCAGGGGCCGTGGGGCTTCCCGGGAGGAAATGGGAAGGCCGACGATGTGCTCTGGGTCGGGCGGCGCAGGGGCTGCTGGAGGCCCGGCCGCGGGGTTTGGGGGGGCCTGTGAGGGTTCGGGGTGGTTGTGGGGGCTCAGGGCGGCTGTGGGGAGCTCGGGCTGGCTGTGGGGTTCAGGGAGGCTGCGGAGGGGCTCGGCCCAGCAGGGGTTGGCAGGATGGGTCCGGGGGGCTCAGCCCAGCAGGGGTTGGCAGGATGGGTCCCAGGGGGCTCAGCCCAGCAGGGGTTGGCAGGATGGGTCTGGGGGGCTCAGCCCAGCAGGGGTTGGCAGGATGGGTCCCAGGGGCTCAGCCCAGCAGGGGTTGGCAGGATGGGTCCTGGAGGGCTCAGCCCAGCAGGGGTTGGCAGGATGGGTCCCGGGGGCTCAGCCAGTGTGGGTGCTGGTGCCTGAGCATCTCCCCTCAGTGCTGCGAGGCTCTGGCAGTGGCACTGGGACTGACTGTCACCACTGGCCATGCGGTGCCACCAGACAATGCCAGGAAGCCGTGCCAGCATGGGGACACGTGGGACATTAACTCTGGGGTGGGACAGGCACAGTGGCCCGTTACACGACGTCCTGCCAGGACAGAGACACACGGCCCACACAGCACCACGGCTGGTACACCCTGGATGGTCCCCGTGCCATGCCATGCCATGCCATGCCATCCAAACCTGCCTCCTCACACTTCCAGCCCTCCTGGGGGCCATCCTGGCCCAACCTGGTGCCCCAGCTTCCCTACCTGGCTTGGAACCAGACCCCGGCTCACCGGGCCCTCCGTGCCACCAGTGCTGCTGCTCAGACACTGGGCCAGGGAGGTGCAGGGCAAGGGGAGACCAGGACCCACCCCACAGCCCTCTCCCTCCCCGGGTGCCCCGGCGCCCATCCCCGTCCCCGAGGAGGGAGGGCCGGCGGCGGGAGCCTTCCTGCCCACCCACCCGCCCGCTTCCTCCGCCCGCCGGGCCCTGGGAACAAGCGCTGCCTTTCTCCTGCTCCCTCCCCTCCGCTGGGCCCCTGCCAAGGAGGCTGCTCCACCAGGAGCCCGCCGGGCCGAGTGGCCCCGTGCCCACCCCGCTGCCCCAGGGGGGGACGCTGGGGAGACACTCCCTGCTGAGGAATGACCGGGGACGGCCCTCAGGGACCCTTGTGCCCACCCCAGCCCGGAGCACGGCGGCAGCTCCAGACCCCAGACCGGCAGGGCTGTGCCCGCTCTGCCAGGGGAAGGTGCTGGCAGAGCCGCTGCCACCCGTGGCACGACCCGCAGAAGGTGCCAGCCCCGGCTGGGAGCGGGGACACTGGTCTCGGAGCCACGGCTTGGCGCTGCCCAGCGTGACACAGGTCGGCATGGCACGGCTCAGCATGGCACGGCACGACCCAGGACAGCATGTACAGCGTGGTACAGCCTGGCACAGCTCAGGACAGCACGGCTCAGCGTGGTACGGCACGGCTCACCGACACCAGCCAGCCCCCACGGAGCCAGCCCAGTGCCCACCCCACATGCCAGCCCCCCTCGCCCCATTCTGGCTCCCCTGGCACGGCAGGCTCTCTGCAGGGAGGGTATTTTTAGCAGCTCACGCCCGGCCGGGGCTTCCCTGGGCTCCTGGCAGTGCCCGGGCCTGGCCATGCCAGCTCCACTCACTTGGCACTGGGAGCTGCCGGCCGATGCGCCGGCACGGGGCAGGTGTGTGGGGGCACACGGGGACGGGCACCCACCAGCCAGCCCTGGGCACCCACCGGCCAGCCCTGGGCACCCACCAGCCAGCTCTGGCACCCACCAGCCAGCTCTGGCACCCTGGCACTGCCCCCACCGTGCCGGGGGGCTCCCGGGGCCGCCAGCTCTGCCGGCCAGAGCCCTCCTGGCTCCCAGGCTCCGGCTGTTCCCGACGCCGTTCCCCACTTGTTCCCGTGCCAGCATTGTTCTCCCACGGCAGCGGCTCCCCCCCGCCCCGGCACGTTACCTCCCGCCCCAGCGGGAGCCCGGCCCCGTCCTCCAGCCCCAGAGCACCCCCACCCAGCCCAGGTGAGGCTGTCCCACCTTCCCTGGCCCCCCAGGGATCATCGGGACAGGCATCCGAGACCTGGAACTGTCCCAGCACGGGATTAACCCTTTCCACAGCCAGAAACTTTCACAAAAAGGATTTGCAACCTTCTCGGAGCGAAGGCGCCTCGGCTCAGTTTTTCCCCCTGGCCCTGCTCGTCCCCCCATCCCACTCATCACCCTGGACCCGTTTGTCACCCCTCTGTCCCCTCCTGCGGGGATGGGGAGTGGGGACACAGCTTGAGCCCGGGACACGACGGGTACCTTCCCTCCGGGCCTCCAGCACCCAGAGGAACCTGCTCCTGCTCCTGACACTGAATTCAAAACTCCCCATGGCACCGTCACACACCACGGCCCGGGAGGTCCGAGCCACCGCCCCCACGAGTGTCCCAAACCCCGGGTGTCCCATCCCTGTGCCTCAGCAGAGCCAGCTGCTGCCCCCAGCCCCCCCGTCACCCCACAGCCCTGGGCACGGCGTGGCCGGGCTGGGTCGTCAGGGGAGCCAAGGTCTCCTGCCCCAGGATGGCCCCAGGGGTGGGGGACACCCCGGCACCCGCCGGCTCACCTGGGCATTCTTGCGCTTCCTCCCGGGCCGCCCCGCTTTCCTCATGGGCGTCCCCGGCTCCTGCTTCTCCTCCTTGCTCGGGTTCTCCTCGGGCTCCTCTTCCCCCTGCCAGCCGGAGACAGAGAGGACGGTTACGCCGCCGGGCACAGCCCGGGGATGGGCACAGCTCTGCTCCCACTCGGCACCGCCGGCACCGCAGGGGGACAGGTGCCCGCCTTGCAACGTGGGAGCAGCGTGGCACTGCCGGGCCAGCGGCACCAGGGCACTTAGAAGGGTGACAGTGGCCCTGGGTGACAGTGGCTCCTGCCAGGCTCAGGCCGCGGCACAGGCCATCGTGGGCCGGGGGCCTCGCCGAGCGACCCTCCTGCCCCTGTGCCACTGCGCCACGACCGGCTCAGGGGCACCTGCCCCACTGCTGCGACCCACCCGAGCCCTGTGGGGCTGGGGGCTCCTGCCCCACGGAAAACGGGAGGGGATGCACCGACCCCATGGCGCAGCACACCACGGGCCTGCAGGCGGCTGTGAGGCTCCCTGGGGACGAGGCACGGCAGCGGGAGCCAGGTGCCTCTGGAGCGGGCAGCTGCCAGCTCTGGGGACCAGAGCCGTGCCCCGGGAGCAGCTGGCAGTGCCCCACGGCCCGTCCCCTCCCCGGTGCCCCGGCCCCGGGGCCTGGCAGCACGCAGGCGCCGGCATGGCGGCGGAGCGGGACGGAGGGCCGGGAAATGAACCTGCTCCCGCGGCAAGGCCACGGCGGTGCCAAGCACCGCGGGGGAACCGCAACCCGCTCGGGGGTCCGGCCCCAGGCACGGCGGGGGGATGCGGTGGGGTCCCGGGGCGGCGCGGGGCCCGTTTCACCTGAGCCCCAGAAGATCCCGGGCGGCGGCGGCCGAGGCAGGAAGAGGCCGCGGAGGGGGAGCAGGGGAAGGAGGAGAGGCCGGCGGGGGGCTGGCGAGGGAGAGGCCGGGGAGGGGATGGGGCTGGCAGCCAGACAGCGCCGGCATCCAGCTGCAGCCGTGCGGGCCCCGCACCCCGGCGGGCGCCAGCCCCGGCCGCATTCCTGCCCCGCGTCCCCCCCGGGCCGGGGCGGCTGCACCGCTGGGATGCAGTTGGCGTGTCCCTGGGGGTCCAACAGGAAGGGCCTGCAGGGTCGGGACACACCGTGCCCCGTGGCCAGGGTGCCTCATGGCCATGGGGCCCCATGGCCGTGGTGTCCCATAACCGTGGTGCCCCATAACCGTGGTGTCCCATGGCTGTGGTGTCCCATGGCCATGGTGCCCCATAACCGTGGTGTCCCATGGCCGTGGTGTCCCATAACTGTGGGGTCCCATGGCCGTGGTGTCCCATAACTGTGGTGCCCCATAACCACAGTGTCCCATAACCATGGTGCCCCATAACCATGGTGCCCCACAGCTGCAGTACCCCCTGGCCGTGGTGTCCCATGGCCATGGTGTCCCATAACCGTGGTGCCCCATAACCATGGTGTCCCATAACCACGGTGTCCCATAACCACGGTGTCCCATGGCCGTGGTGTCCCATAACCATGGTGTCCCATAACCACGGTGTCCCATAACCACAGTGCCCCATAACCGTGGTGCCCCATAACCACAGTGTCCCATAACCACGGTGCCCCACCGCTGCAGTACCCACAGCCAGGGTCCCCAGACCAGCTCCCCCGTGCCACCCACACCCAGACCCAGCCACACGCCCTCGTGCCCACCGCTGCCTGTCCCCCCCGTTCCACATCCTGGCGCATCTGGGATCCCACGGGAGCCACGTCCAGCCCATCCCCAGCCCCCACGGGTGTCCCGCCAGGACCGCCCTTGGCCCGGCCCCATAACCACTCGCCTGTGTGTGGGGCTGGGCAGCCCCCAGCCCCCTGCAAGGACCCTCCATCCCTGTGTGGATCCCCCAGCCCCAGCACTCACTGGCACTGCCACACCAGGGCCGAGCAAGGAGAGGCTCCACTGTGGCACCCGGGGGGCCCCAATGGGGCTGAGCCCCACTCCCCACACCATCCCGGGTGGCAAGTTTTGGGACAGGTCCCTTTGCCCCCAGTGCCACCCCAGTCACCAGCGCACGGCTCCAGCTGCCCCCCTGCCACATTCCAATTTTTCCAGGTCCTGGTGGTGTTTAAGGCGGGTGTAAATGAAGGACTTGGGGGGGTGTCAGGTGCACCAGGCAGCGGCCAGGCTGCTGTGCCAAGAGAGGACGCGGCTGGGGAGCACCTGGTGGGTGCCAGCAAGGCCGGGGGGGCTCTGGGGGTGCTCTCTGGGTGAACTGCTGCCAGGACAGAGCTGGCTCAAGGGCTGCCGTAGGGGAGGGGGCAGCGGGGGTACCTGCTGCAGAGCCAGGGAGGTGCCCCCAACACCCACAGAGGCAGAGCCAGCACCCAAAAAGTGGGGCAGGCGCCCAAGAAGCAGAGGGGGGGGGGC